CTATCTATCTATCTATCTATCTATCTATCTATCTATCTATCTATCTATTATCCGTCCCCACTTATTTTTGAGGTAGGAAATTCACTATACACCCCGGGCTGGCCTTGAAGTAGAAATCCTCTGCTTCATATTCCTGAGTACCACTGAGGTTATAGCTAGGACCTATTATTTGTGACTCTGGTACACTGGTTCCTGTGTGATGTTAATGCTTTCATGAGATTCTGATTAGCTCTGTGACTCAATCACAAGTACCATAGATTATGATGATAGAAATTAGTTTGCACACAGGATTCTTTTCTCTGTTTTGGAGTACACAGTTTATTCCAACAGGAATAATTTTTCTCATCTAAACAAATACTGCATATCTTTTTGGCTACCACTTTCATTGTAAGAAAGCTCAAGTTTCTGTTAGCAGCCTACTATAGGCCAACCAGCTTGGATATATTCTTCTTTATTCCTAACAAACATGATACATACATCGTCTTGATAACAAGGATAAGACCTCACTCAAGCCCAGATGCTGTTTTGCTTCCCTTTGTTGCCTCAGTATCTGGCACAGTCCCCAGTAAAAAGCATTTAATTTATGTCACGGCTTTTGTTACAGCTCTGTTGCTAGGCTTGAAAATGACTAATAGATTTAGTAGCTTCCCATCCGTCCCCTTCTTTGAAAAGATCTTGCAAAAAGTGCAGTATCTGAAGTGTGCTGTGGCAATGTAACAGTTGCATGGCTTATTATTATTATTTTTTATCTTATTAAAAAATAAAATAAAACAGGGTCTCTTTAGCTAAATGCCCTTTTTATTTTCTCCCCCAACAAAAGGTAGCAGGCATCTTACTGGATCAGGAGGGATGATGACGACTAGAATAGACCGGCTAAGGGTGATGAACTCTGGTGGTAGAACAGGGACCACTTGGACAAGTGGGGTGGAGGCAAACCAAGAGAGTTGTTTTATTATTTACTATTATTATATTATATATATTATATTATTACATTATATATCATTCCTGATTTGACCAAGTGAATGGTGTTTGTACTCAACCCTCTGGGAAAGAAGACACACTAAGAGGTAAGCTAATCTATTCACATACCAATGAAATGAAATTCTTTGTCTAAATTTTATTGACACAAGTTCACATTTTTTAGTTTTTGGTGGTGGCGCTATGGAAGACACTTATGGTTATTACTGATCACTTTAGGGACAGCACTTGGCATTGACTATGGTTCCAGGTTTACAGTGTTTTTGTGATCAACATCACCATTCATGCCCAGAACTTTTTACACTGTCCCTTACTGAAACTTGAATCTCTGTTCCTTTTCCTCCAAATCACGGCATTCACAATTCTTTTCATCTCTGAATTTCCCTACTGTAGGTGCTTCATGTGAGTGGAATCATGGTGATCTTTGGTGTCTTCTCTCATGTAGTATTATGTCTTTGGAATTCATGCACGATGCAACAATGTCTGGTGTCCCTGCTTTTAAGGTGTTTTTCTATCAGCACGGCAGGGTTTGGAATGATTCTCAGAAGTAGAATTGCTCGGTCCTACTCTGAGTCTGTTTTATTTTTCAGAGGCTGCCCTATCAACTGATTGTAAAGGCTCCAGTTTCTTTGTACTCTAGCAGCTGCCCTCTTCTTATTTTCAGAGAACAGCAGCTATCCAAATGGGCAGGGGGCTGGACCCTGTGGTCCTGATTTGTGTTTGGCTTCATATTGATTAAAGATGCTAAGCAGCTTTTCACTTAGGCATCTTTTTTGAGAAATGTTCACTGTCCATTTGTGAATTGATTGGGTCATTGGCTTTTCATTGTTGAGTTTATAGTTATTTTGTAGTATGGGACACTTCTGGGTAGATGATATGCTTCCAGGGAACAAGAAAAAAATGTGCTAAGCTTGCATAAAAATGCATTATAGAAAAGCCCACTCCAGCAGGGGTGTTGACTCATGAAAGCCATATTCCTGGAGCTCCCCTGGATCACTTGTAGGCAGCTCAAGAGGTGGGAAAGTCCCTTCTCTCCAGCAATCAATATTGCCGAGATAACCTTGGGGAGGGACCTGGCATTATTTAAGTTTCAGGAACTTTTTGAGACTTGTGAGTTATTTATTTCCTGAGCCCCGTAAGTTTCACTTACTCTCCTCCCTCCAGGACTGAATGTTTTGATTTGGAGGAAATTTACTATGCAATACCACTAATCTAACCATTATTTAAGAATGTTATTTATATACTTAAAACACTGATCTTGCCATCTTCTAATTAAAAGAAAACACTTTTTAGTATATAATTCATATATAAACTGATGACTATTTCTATACTAAAATCTAAAATTGCAAAGTATGTTGTTGTGGGCTAGAGAGATGGCTCAGCAGTTCAGAGGAATGGCTGTTTTTCTAGAGGACCAGGTTCGATTCCGTGCACACCCATGGTGACTAACACCTGTAACTCCAGTTCCAGGAGATACAGTGTGCCTCCTGGCTTCCATGCAAACTGCATGCATGTAGTGCGCAAATGCTCATGTAGTCAAATAGTCATACATATCAAATAAAAAAATTTAAGAATTACTTATTATTAATCACATATTTCAAGTTAGTACAGTTAATATTTTTTAATGATCAACTTATGAATCGTTTATAGGATACCATCATAGGAAAATAAACATGGCATAGAGCTGTAAGAATCAATACTTAAATGATATAATTGATAGAAAACGAGATAGATTTGGTATGTAAAAGATACAGACAAGGGTTGAAGAAAAGAAATGAGTATGCAGATATCTGTGCTGTGACTAACAAATGCTAACAAATAACTGTGGTGGTTTGAATAGGTGGCCTCCAGAGATTCATGTGTTTGAATGCTTGGCCCATAGGGAGTGGCACTATTAGGGGGTGTGGCCTTGTCAGATGAAGTGTATCGCTGTCGGGGTGGGCTCTGGAGGTCTCCTCCTATGCTCAGGCTCCACCAAGTGTGGGATAGCCTCCTCCTGGCTGCCTGCAGAATATAGTCTTTCTGGTTGCCTTTGGATCAAGATGTAGAACTCTCAGCTTGTTCTCCAGCACCATGTCTGCCTGCATGCTGCCATGCTTCCTGCCATGATGACAATGGACTAAATCTCTGAACTGTAAGCCAGCCCCAACAAAATCTTTTTCTTTCTAAGAGTTGCTTTGGTCATGGTCCTTTTACAGCAACAGAAACCCTAACTAAGACAATAACCAAACTCTAAAGTACTAACTGGTTTGAATTGTTCAAAATTTATTATTCTTAAGTAGCCACTTTACTTAATCCACAGGAAGTTGATGAAATGCTAGATTCTGAATTTCTGGCAAAACCTTCCAAGACCAAAGTTTTAGATCAGTAACCTGTCCTACAGATATAAAATGTAATTTACATATTTTACAAAGGTATCAACGGTTATTTCAAAGTTGCACATTTGATATTTTCTATAAATATATAATCTATAGCTAAAAGAAAATACCATCTTCTAAAAGCAAAACAAGACAGAACTTCATTGATCTGAAACTAAAGGACAGCTTTCCATTTCTTGTCAGGACTTGTGGTGTAAACTGTAGAAAAAAAAAAGAAAGTAAAAACAAGAGATAAGTATATAACTGGATTTCAATTTTTTTTATAATAAGAAAAAGTACACCTTCCTTAAAGGAATTTTGTTGATAAAGTGGGTTTCTTCTTGTAGGTAAACATATGGCTGAGGCTTCTACACAAAATTCAAGCTTTAACTCACTTCTTGATTTTAAGCACTAGACTTTTATAAAAATGTCTGATTTGACAAGTTCATCTGCCACTAGGAAATAGATAAGAACTGCTTCCCCATCTCTGACTTCACTGTTTCTACCAGCACTTAAAACCCAGGCTTGTTCTCAGTGTCTCATACTAGTGTCCTGGGCCTTGGCGCCTAGGGGAGAGGCTGTCCTCCCAGCACTGAGTGTCACTATGGTAGAGGACTTGGACCTTACTTCTCCACTGAATGTAATATTTAAGGAGACTTCAGATGAGCATTGTCCTAATTATAAAGAAACTCAAGCACCTGCAAAATTGTTTAAATGCTAGGAGAAAAGTGCATTAAAATTCAGAAGGACACATACATATCTTCCCATCTTTCTCTAGTTTTTTCAAATGAAGCAAGAGATTACGTTCTGCCATCTTATGTAAATTCTCTGGAACATTCTGAAAGAAAAACAGGATAAAAAGGAGTTTCATTTCTAAAGAATACTTAATTATTTGGAATCTTTAAAACAAGACACACACACAACAGAAAAGAAAGTTTAACCTGGGCACACTATAGTGCTAACTTAAGTTAGGGATGAGGCTCAGTTGACAGTTTTCCTACTATACACAACTTTCCTACCATCCAAGTCCCACCCCAGCACACATAAACTGGGTGAGCAGCACACAGGTAACCTCAGCACGAAGGCAGGATGCTCAGATGTTCAAGGTCATCCTTGGCCATCGTGAGTTTGAAACCAGCTTGTCATAATGAGAATCTGCCTCAAAAAGCAAAATCAAATAAAAAATATAATGCCAACTTAAACAATTTCTACCTTGCAAATGGTCTTGTTTTAGAATACTATTCTTTTATATTTCTATAGATAAAATAGTTAAATGCCACAAATTTTGTTCACTATGGAATTATTAGTATTTAGCATACTGACACACAGTAGAAATTCTTTAATATTTACAAACAAGGGAATGAGTATAAAGATTTCTTCTTAGTTTTGAATAATCTTAAATTGGCTTTATGCTCTTTTGGGTATTATGATAATATCTTTGTATCCTATGACTCACAGCTTCCCTTTACTCTTGCTAAAATAATGTAATATTGACATGTCATTTTTAATAAAGAGAAATTATATCTTATTATTTAAATAAGGATTATAATTCTGAAGTCAATTTTCTTGACTAAACTCTCTTTGTCTGTGTCTTAGTTAGCTTTAATTGTCATGGTGACACAGTCAACAGGCATGTGACAGGAGAGAGTCAGTTGAGGAACTGCCTAAATTAGACTGTCCCGTAGGTGTGTCTTTGGGGACTGTCTTGATTATTAATTGACCTAGAAGGGTCCAGCCAACTGTGAGAGGCACCATGCCTAGGCAACTGGGTTCTGGGTTATATAAAACAAGAGGGTTAGCCACAGCAGCTCCGCCATGGTTCCTACCTTGTGTTCTTACCCTGATTTGCCTCAGTGCTGGACTGTGACCTACAGCTATTCACCAGCTAAATCCTTCCCTGCACAAGTAGTCAGAGAGATTTACCACAGCAGGGGACTGTGACCAGAATACTCTGTTTCTCAGCTTCCTGAAAATATTTAGCCAGGATTGTCAAATTATATCAGTCAAAGGTCAATGACTTTGTTTATCTCATTGTACATGAAGTCAGCTGGTTTGTTCCTCTTTTTGAAGACAGATTTTTCTGTATTTACTCCACTTCATTAGCATTTACTGTCTTCTCGAATACTTCCCTTAGATTTATCTTAAAACATTGATATTTACAAAGAGACACTGATATTTACAAAGGGTCGTCTTATTGGCTCATTCTCTCTTTTGAGATAGTTCAATCCATCTATTCACTCTTGCAAGGCTGGCCTCAAACTCAGCCTCCTGAGTTCTATCACCTAAAGTGTCTCCCTTTTCATTTCTACTCAGCTAACACACACAGAAATAATGAGCAATGATGATTACCAAATTCTCCTTTAAGCAGTAGTACCATGTACTGACTCTCCACCAGTGTAACCTTTGAGATCTCATCATGCAAGTTACCCACTTACGATCTGTGAGTGATCATTCCCAGATCATTTGATCTGATCACATGTCCTCTTCCTACCTCACTTCCTGAGACTTTCTTCCTGTCTATCCTCACCTGTGACATACATGCCCCTGTTACATGTCTTCTCTGTGGATTTCCAGATGAACAGGGGTCTATGGTTACTCCTAGTGTCTGAATGCACCTTTCACTGTGTCTAGAATGACGACTAACTCATTCTAGGCTGCCTCATGCCAGTCCACATGCAGGAAGTGTTTTACACATGTGCACAGTGACTGCCTCTATGTATTTACAGAACATACTTCTGCTGGGTATACGCGGAACATACACCTGGATGAAGAAGCAGTGTCTGTGTAGTCATGAGCAATTACTTAAGGACTCATCTGTGACACGGTTTAGAGAGTTTTGCTGGCTGTTCTTAGGTTAGGGGAAGAAAACCCCTCAGTGTAGCAGTGTAAAGTTTAGAGTGGCTACACACTAGTACTAGAAAGGAAATGAGCTCTTACACACAATTTTAATGCTTTTTTTAAAGCGTGTTTGTGCGCACACGTGTGTGTACTGAAGCTACATGCTGACCTTGGCTATTTTCCTCCACTGCTTTCCACCTTATTTCTTGAAAAAGGGTTCTTCACTGAATCTAGACCTCATGGAGTCTGCGTCCCTAGCACGGGGATTACAGGCACATACTTTGGCTGTTGGGGACTGAATTCAGACCTCACATTTGCTTACGCTATAGGCTCTTTAGTGACTGACCTATCTCTCAGCCCTGCAAGAAAATACTTGTATTAATTTTTCCATAACTTTTTTTTTCCTGGTAGTGCCGGGGGATCCTAACCCAGGGCTTTGACTATGCAAGGCTGGCTAACACTCTACACCTGAGTCACATCCTGCTCAGAGGTGATTTTCATTTATCATTCTTGTCTGCTGAGATGAGACACAGTGAGTGTGATTTAGCAGTCTGAGGAAGTCTGTGGTGCTTTTAAGGTCCTTTACTTGTTGTTGTTCCAGTCTCCAGGTTACCCCAGGGTAGCCTGTAACTGGATGAGTGCTGAGACTGTGTGTGTACTACTGTGTCCGCCCTAGCAGGACTTTAATACTTAAGTAGCCTGCCAAATCCTACCTACCAAACTACTAAGCTACTGCACCTGCACGGCAGAAACTCACCTTGCTAAGACATGGAGCAACATTAATGAGCCACACAGGGCTGCAGGAATGTGCCCAGAGGCCACACACTGAGTCTGGAGTTCTTCCTGTAGACAGTATTTTCTTCATGTGTTTTGATGCACGTTTTCCCATTATTAGGCTACAATTTTCCACTGCTATTACCCTCAAGTGGTTTTTGTTTTATTTTGTTTTTGCTTAGAGGGTCACACTCTTTGTCATCAGGTAACCAAGATGGCTAGAATAGAATGTGTCATTACAAACTATGCAGAGCAGCGTCTCTGGCTGAGTCAAGTAAGGTTTACAATGGCTAAGGATGACTACGCTTGCTCTCAGTGGACACTTTTCTTTCTTAAACTGTTGGTCTCAGGTGTAGACAGCTGGTATTACTTAGAGAATCAAAGCCGGGTGGTGGTAGTGCATGCCTTTAATCCCAGCACTTGGGAGGCAGAGGCAGGCGGATTTCTGAGTTTGAGCCTGGTCTACAGAGTGAGTTCCAGGACACCCAGGGCTACACAGAGAAGGAAAGAGAGAAAGAGAGAAAGAGAGAGAGAGAGAGAGAGAGAGAGAGAGAGAGAGAGAGAGAGAGAAAGAAAGAAAGAGAGAGAGAGAATCAAAACACTTGTTTATACCTGGGATGCATTAAGTTTACCGTACAGCTTACTGAAAGATACTGTAGTAAAGAGTGGCCATGTACAGAGAAGATGAAAGCAAGTCACCTTGTAAATCATTTTCGTAAGTTCAGTCACTGTAAAGGATTTCTCAAAGTTATCACGAAATAATGTAATAATTTGTTCTTCTCGGTTGTTTCTGTGAGAAATATATTCCAGAATTTTAGCTTCAGCATTATGGATTACTGGGCCGTGTCCTGAATTAAAGGAGTAATATAAATTAGTGCAACCAAATAAGAAACACTAAGTACAAAGATGCTCTACTCTATTTAAACATAATCCCTATGCTGTACTGAAAAGCACTGTAGGAACACACATATTCATTGCTTGGAGAGCTCACAGGTCGAAGATGTCAAGACTGCACACGGGACCTTCAGAAGTGGCTGTGATAGGAGAAGGTCTCTCCAGAGTCTCGCCTCTCCCTGAGCATCTGCTGTGTTATCAGTTGCAGGAGAGGAGGAGGCAGTTTAGCTCAGTAGTGTAGCCACTGACAAATTGTCACTGCTCCTCCTGTGAACAACTGTCACCCATGCTCCTGTGAGCAACCCTAATAAACTCATTGGCTCACCGCAGAGACATTAAAGTAGAAAGGGGAGGGATATTTGGGAAGGAGAAGGGATCAGTGGGAATGGGAAGGGGAAATGTATTAGGTAAAAATCACCAAAATAGAATATAGTGTGCATGTGTCTGTGAGTGGGCGCGTGGATGCCTATGGCACCTGAGCACGTGTCTGTGAGTGCGCGCGCGGATGCCTATGGCGCCTGTGCACGTGTCTCCCATCATCTGAAAGAGCAGCACACACTCTTAACCCCTGAGCCCTCTCTCAAGCCACTCAAAATCCATTATACAAACCTATGAAAATGTCATAAGGAAACTGATGATTATATACAATTAATGTATGCTAATAAAAAGCACTACATTACAGATAGCCTGGGGATTTGATGGCAACAATAAAAAATTGTGTATAATGCCAAAAACCTTTAGCAAATTATATCAAATGGAAATATGTAATGCTATTATGTACCTTAAAATATAAGATTGATTTTAGCAATAACATATGCACTAAACACAGGAGCCACAATAACAGTGGGTACCATGGAAAGCGCTCTCTGGGTGCTCGGCATTATTTCGCATACTTCACGTACTCCGTGCTTACAAGGATGCCGTGAGGTAGATACTACTCCTATCCACAGGGAAGGAACATGACCTGCCTACAGCTAGTCAGCTAACAAGGGGCGGAGCTGAGATTCCCATTAGGCAGTTCTTAACCACGATGGGTTCCTCTTAACTGCTGTAGTGAGCTTACTAACAAAAGACTGAAAAAACATAAAAAAGCAGGCTAAGACCCACCGTAGATCTAAAATCTTATAGTCAATGTAGCAACTCAGACGCAGTTACCCTAAAATTGCCTGCTCTTTAAACAATGCAACATGGGACAGAAGTCTACAATAGGGATTTTTAAAATCTTTGAGAACAAAACATCCAGAAGCAGGCTAACATAGGATCACACAAAGGGCACTGGACTTTGCTTTGTGACAGGCTGTTCCTTCTTAGCCCTGTGAGAAAAAGTGAGTCTCTCTGAGCCTGTTTCTGAAGCTTTGTAGTGATATCATCTTCTACTTCACAGGACTTTGTTAAATGCAGACCTATAAACGCCCCTGGATGATACCTGCGGGGGATGCAGTCTTTACTCTATGGTAACTATGGTGACAGAGCATAATTTACATAAAGACAACTTCCTTGCTAAAAATACAAGAGGTTCACTGGATGCAAACATAGAGACCCTTCATAGGTAGGCTCTTGGTCTCTACCTCAGGAGTGCCTCAGCAGCTGCTCCTTGTATCACAGAAAGCCATCAGTGCCTCCCCCTCCCATGTCACGGCAACACATATGCCCAGCCATATGGTGCATTTACTATTTCCTGAGCATGGAGAACTCATGGGAGAATGTAGGTGAACTGACAGATCTTCTCATGGCTGTTTTGTTAGGAGTAAGTTAGAAATTTAAGTAATTCCCTTTCTCTTCTGGGACTCTTGCTGGATTCTTCCTTAGCTTCTGTGACAGAGAGAACATTCATATTGCAACCAGTGCAGTGACATCTGACATCTAACAGTTTATTCTTCTGGAGATCAGATATGTACCATTTTATAGTTGCTATGGAAACCTGACATACCAACATTGTGAGTTAAAAAACAGTTCAGAGGACAAGTGATACCCAAGGTTTGACAGCTAAAATGTAGTTTATTAGAGAAGTCAGAGTCAGTTAATAATAATAATTGTGATTGAGGCACTTTCCTGTCCCCATGTAAGCTTGTTTTGCTGCAACAGTTTTGTCAACAGCTGTGTGGATGTTGAAGGACACTCCTTACAGAAAATGCTATGGATGTGGCTCTCAGCCAGGAAAGAGCCAGAGGCAGAACTTAAAGTCGCCGTTAGGAGCTCCCTCTGTTTAGCTTCATGGGTCAAAAGAGTTAGGGTGACAAACCAAACTGCACTGAGGGAGAAGGAAGGGAGGAGCCTGAGAACCAAGAAAGAGGTAAGGGACTTCTAAGAAGCACGGACACAGACACACAAAGGTGATACAGAGGTGGTCTTGAAACAATCTCCAGTTGCACCCAGCTCCTGAGGAGAGAAGCTGATGCTGCAACCACAGGGAAGGGAGGCAGTGCTGATGTCAGCAGCCTGGCAGTCCCAGCTGTAGGAGAGGCCCACAATTTTGGAAGGCCTTAAATCTACTGTAGGGATCTGGTGTGACTGAGACTTCTATGTCACAGCTGATGGAGAAGCACCGACCTACTAGTCCATTCCCACATCTTGGAGTGCTACAGCCCAGGGCAATCTTGAGGGTCTTATTGCTTGAGACTGAGCTATTCTGGGGACATGAAATCAAGAAATAACCCCAAGTTAGCGAGCTGGGGGACAGGCTGCCATGTGGAAGAAGGCCGAGAGAAGCAACGATGAGAGGCAGGTGTAAACGTGGATTTGCCTGGAAGTTCAGAGAACAGGAAGAGAGTGGGCTGTGGGGTTGAGGTGGCTGGTAGCCCCGTTCTGTGGGGTGAGGAACTTACTTTATTGGTCATGGAAAGCTGTGGTGCCTTGGCCAATGACTGCTTGGCCTTAGGAGCTGCATTTGTGCATGTGTCCAGGCAGGACTGACAGCTCTAAGCCGGCGGGTATGGGGGACCAGTAGGTTCCCCTGACACTTCCTTCCTGCAAGGTGCTTCAGTACTTGCAGCATTGGGAGGCGCTGAGATGGCACTTAAGTTGCTGAGCTCCCTAAGTTTTTCATGTCTGCTGAGGAACTCTGTGGATGTCTTGGAAATTTGCCATTGTTGGGTATAAAAATTGGGGGACCTCTGAAAGAGGTGAGAACTTGCCTAGCTTCAAAGGCCTTAGAAAGGCTGGCAGTGGCTCCTGGACATAAGTAGGGAAGCCCCAATGGAAGAACCAATGCTAGCAGGAAAGAACATCAAGGACTGAAGATATTAAGAAATTATTACATTCAAATATCAATAAGACTGAAAACAAAATCCATGTCCACTACACCCAAGACTCTGGGCCAGATGAAGACAGCAAACCTATGCACCTGTAGTGTTGAAAAGAAACTAAGACACATAAAATGTGTTCAGTGATGTTACAGCGGAAGGATTCCCAAACGTAGGGAAAGAAATGGACAGTCAAGGACAGGAGGCATATAGACTCCCCCTCTGCCCCCTCCCAAACCATGAGCAGAAAACAGCCTTTCCATGTCATACTATATTAAAAATCCCCCCCCCAAAGAAAATCCCCAGAGTACAGAACAATTAACGGATACTGAAGCTGTGCAAGCCACATCAAATTACAAAGGAAATGTTAGAATAAGAGCAGGCTTGTCAGCAGGAACTCGAAGGCTGGGAACACAGACTTCAAGCCACAAGACTTAAGTAACTGTCAATCATCTGAGTTTATTATATACCCAGCGAAGTGATCCTTCAAGGAGTTCCCACTGCATTGCAAGCATGAACTAAAGTCATCTGCATCTCTTCAGGAGAAGTCACACAACAGCCATGAAAGTTCTATATTAAAAAATTCAGAGAGGAGCTGGTCAGACATAGCTGCACTTGCCATTAAGCCTGATAACCTGAGTTTGAGCCCCAGAACCCACATGGTGGAAGGAGAGAACCAACTCCTCAAAGTTATTCTCTGACCTCCACTTGTGTGACACACACACAAATGTAAATAAACATTAAAAATCCAGAGATTTAGATCAAATAAGCAAATTAAGTACTCCGACATCTTAAAATAATAACAAACCCAAGATAAATAAATAGAAATAATGATTCAGAGAATAAAGTAATGGTTAAGAAATAGAGACAAAGAATATAAAATATCAAACCAAAGAACTGCTTTAAAAAAAAAAGGATTCCCAAACTCTTAGCCAAATGAACCAAAAGGAGAAAAGAATTTAACAAAATTGAACATTAAAAAGAAAATATTGCAGGAGACTCGTGAACTTCAGATCACTGCACAGTATTCTGCAAATTCATTCTGTTAAATTGGAACATCAAAAAGAAGTGGATGAATTTTCTAGTATATGTGACATATCAAAATTGAAACAAGAAGACAGAAACAAGAAAGCATCTGTAGTGGGAAATAGGACTGAAGTACCACTGTGGGCCCTCAACAAAGAAAAGCCCAGGACAGAATTCATGACTGAGGAGCACCGGCCAGTTAAGGAAAATAAAGACCAATGATCCTCAAACTGTTCACAAGACAGAAAAGGAGCCAGCATACTAATCCAGTGTTATCTTGCTACTGGTGTTGTTGGAAAATGATCCAACAACAAAAGGCCCATATCCTTAATGAAGATCTCACCAGAAGAAAAAGAAAGTTGACAGATTCAGCACCCCTTCATGATAAAAGCCCTGCAGAATGCCAGCTAGGAACACTGGACTTGAGCATAATAAAGACAATGTATGACAAGTTTAGTGGCTAACACACAAACTGGGGGAAAACAAACATTTTCTCTAACCTTAAGAACAAGACAAGGATGTTCACTGTCTACTCTAATTCAATACAGTCTTTGAATTCTTTTGTTTGATTGCTTGTTTTTGAGAGAGACAAGGTATCTTTTTGGCTGTCCTGGACCAGGCTAGTCTTGAACTCAGAGATCCATCTGCCTGCCTCTGCCTCTCAAGTGCTAGGACTGAAGGCATAC